CCCGCCGCCACCCAAGTGCCTCAGTGTGCCACCCGTGTGTCGGGGCCACCCGTGGCCAGGCACGACCCGTGCCAGCTGTTCTGAGGTGAGCTGCGTGCAGGTGCCACCCGTGAGCGGCGCCACCCCCGTGGTGACCCCACGGGTGAGCAGACAGCGCCTCTGTGCCCGTCAGTCACACGCAATGCCAGCCCTGTGCCCAGACCCCCCACCCCTCCCCTGCTGGCATGGCCCCGCTCAGTCCAGGGGGGTCCTGGCCCAGTGAGGGTGCTCAGCTCCCCACAAGGGACCCAACACAGCTCTTTGCAGCAGAACAGCACCTTTATTTTTAACATTACCCTGCCTCGACCATTGCATCTTCACACGTGGATACAGGGAGAGGAATCACCCAGTACAAAGGGAATCTAGGTTCACCCCAAAGACCTCAGCGGCCAAAGAGTTTCCAGCTGTAGCAATGGTTTTGCTCTAAGCTGTGGGGGAAATACTTCTTTCCAAAATGGGTAAAAAGAATGTAGGAGTGTAGATTATATTTTGGTCATTTTCTCCCTCCTGCCATGATCTTGTAATTGAAAATTTGAACTGTACTTGCTAATCTCACCCAAATCACTTGTATGCATATATTACAAACAGCACAGACACCTTTTAATGGGAACAACATTAATTTGCCACCCATATTTTGATTTGAAGTCCCAGATATAACGATCGGTGGGGAAAAGCATCTACTTGAAAATAAGACCAAAGGACACTTCTGGGCCCAGGTTAGAGTTCAAACCTACTGTGTATGTGTTTGGATTTTAACTTGTTGTACTTGGTGATCAGATCCAGCTTACTGTGCCCAAGAGTCAGTCTTTTCTCAGCCCCGTAAGCACTGTTCTTTTCCATCAGCATGTCCTCAGTGAGTTTATCACAGCAAGGAACTACGGGGGCTTTATCTTGTTTGATCTTGTATGGGGATAGCAGGTCCAATTTGCCTTGCCTGGGACTCTGTCTTTTTTGTATCTCATAAAAAGTGTTGTCATTTTCTGCTGTCACTTCCCTGGAGACAGCAGCAGGCCCTTTCTGCTTCGTGCATGTCTGGTTGCCACTGCCACCCTCTGAAAGAGACTGCAGCGTCTGCTCCTGCCCTAGAGGGGAGCAGTGGCTGCTGTTAGCCTGGCTGTCCCCTGGGTAACTGGGTCTGTCAGAGCTCAGGGCAGGGGAAGGCTCCAGCTGCGCTGTCCTTGCTGTCATGAGGTTGGATTTGGGATATGAGGCTGGAGTAGTTTTATTTGGAGGACTGTTCGGTGAGTCTGGTGGTTCTCCTTGCTGCTTGGGGCAAGTGGGCTTCAGGGGCTCATCTTCCTTCCCCTTCTTATTACCAGAATCAGAGCTTGAATCTTGCTTTTCCTGGTGCACGTTGCAGCTGGAGTTTTTCAGAAAGGGAGACACTTTTATGCTTCTGATGCTTACATTGGAAAGGCTGCTGGAGGGGCTTGAGGTTTCGGCATCATTCACCTGTGCAGCTTTGAAAAGGGAGCTGGTGACCTTTGATGTATTCTGAGCAGGGGGAGGTGCTCCAGGACCTGGTGCACAGAAGCTGGTCACTGCCCTGGACTCTGCGTACAGGTACCGGAACTCCTTGTCAAACTCTGCAACTATCTGACCACGGAAGTGAGTCACCAGGCTGGTGTGGACTTGGCTGCAAAGCCATGTGAAACTGAAAAGGAAAAAAAAAAGAAAAAAAAAGAAAAGAAAAGCCTGTAACTTCAGTTCAGAGTGCCCAGACACCTAGCACTGATTTTAACATTGAAGTGATGCTTTGCTACCCAATTTTTGCCATTAAAACTTTCTCTGAAGTATGTGAGTCTAAGATTACTCGCAGAGATGAATGTACTCATTACATAATTACAAAAGAACAATCCTAAAATGGTCATTTAATTGCAGCTCAGTGATGTACTGAACTGTATGGAACTATAAACAATTAACAGGAAATATCAGCTGGTGTTCCTTAGCCTTATGAGGCCGTAGAGCAGCAACTGGTAACTGCTTAAAAATCCCAGCAGCACGTTTCAGGCCTTTTCTTCACCAGGTTCCTTTTGCCAGTGCTCTCTGCCCACAAGCAAGGAGCCATCGTTTTCCATTCACCCTCCAGCCCAGGTTTTGGGAAGTACCAGCTAGCCACTCGTGGATGGGCTTGTCGCCTGTGCAGGGAGGTACTGTGGTGTGAGGGTTTGGATCAAGCAGGCAGTTGCAAGGAGAGCTCTGGCTGTTTGGAAATGCTGTGGCTCTGGGACAACGAGGTACAAAGCACAGGGCACTGAAGGGCTCTTTCTGCCCAGCTCGTGTTGCAGAGCTTCTAGCTCAGCATGTGGCTGGCACAGCACACTGCAACCAGACCTTCCAGAGAGGGCAACGACACTGTGTGGGGGAATAGCAAAGTGTGCCTGCTCTGCTCTCCTCCCTTGCCTTGGCAGGAGCTACATTCTCATGTCTTTATCATCTGCAATATGTGACAGACTTGAAGGAGCTACTTAGAGAGGCAGGAGGGTGAGGAATGTAGATCCTGGGCACTGCCTTGAGGAGCAGAGGTCTCCAGAGCCCTGTAGGAATACCTCAGGACAGGAAGGCTGCTGGTGTTTTCCATAAACATTGCTGTGAGTTCCCCCAGACTCTCTATCTTTTCCTTGCCATCCAGTTAACAGATGCATGGAGTTCATGGGTCCTTCCTCAGCAAGTCCAGTCCCCAGCTCTCGCAGTACAATGTCTTGAAATCTTTTCTGGGACTTTGTTTTGTTCTACCTTAAACCAAATTAGATTTTGCCCCAGCTGGGGAAGAACTTTCATTATCTGCCAATCTGCATATTTTCCTTAGCTGTTTAACCCTACCTGGGTGTTGTGCCAAAACTGTAACTAAATTAGCTCTTCCCCCATGTATCTACAGAAAATAATCACATTTCTCCCCCAAGTCTTCATTTTCCTAGATTAAACAAGGAAGCTCCTCTTACAGAATAGGCTCTTCAGGCTCCTGGTCATCGCAGTCATCAGCTGTTTCTTTTATTCTTGCTGTAGTTAAACCAGATTAACAGACTAATTGTGTTAAATAAAACAGAGCCTTCACAGAAGGAAGTACCAGCTTAGAGATGCATTGTCAGCTGCTAGAACAAGATACTGACTTTGACAAGAGCAGGATAAAATCACAAAACCTACAGGAAAGCAATTGTAACAGAAGTTTCCCATCATTTTCAATGTCACTTCAGGACAAGATACTGGCACTGTTTTGGTACCTCATCAGTATTTACTTCACAAGATAGCTGTTTGGGAACTTCTAGTAGGAAAAACATCTCTTGGCTTGTTCCTGAGCAGTATGCAGTTGTTAATGCAGGCTCATAAAGGTGTTCTGAAGAAAGTAGTGCACTTTACACTCATCAGACACACACACAACCCCCAAAGAGCAACATAAAATGAAAAGATCAATACTCTTCTGCTTAATAGCAAAGCAGGTAAATGAATAAATGAAAACGTAGTAAAAAAGTGAAAATCCTTTGCAGGTGGCATGACAGAAGGATACTCAGAAATGCTAAACTGGATGCTCAAAGTAGTTGCATACAACTCCACAGAGAGACTTGAGGAAAACAAACAAACAAACAAACAAAGAAACCCAACAAAATTCAAAACCAAACCAAACCAACAAAAAAACCCAAACAAACAAACAAACAAATCAAAACCTAAACATCAGCCAGAGAATAGCTGGGATAGCTAAATGACAAATTAGAAGCTATTAAGACCAGAAAGTTTATCTTTCAAAAGAGTTGGGTCATGTGTTGCAAAAGGCATAAGAAATAATATTCAGCTCTCTATGGGGCTCGCACATGGTCCGTGTGTAATAGGAGTGCTCAGATAATTCCTCTGCATCAGTGCTTATTGTACAAGAGGGATGGTCCCTGCCCTGGAGCCACCTTTATACAGAACATGAGGGAGATTCAGTCTCATGCTGAAATCTCTGCAGAAGGGATTAGAAAACCTATCACAAAGCAGATAGTAACAAGTTGGCAGGAGCAGGTAGCATTAACCCAAGAGTGCCAAAGGAATGCAAGGATGAAACAGCTCAACTACCAACCATGATGTGTTTCCTCTCACTTGAAAGTGCCTTGATAATCAGAAGAATGGAAGGTTGCTAATGTGGTACAATTTTTTAAATGTTCCAGAGCTTTCAGTCTCTTAACTGCACAGCACAAATTAGTAGAGACTCTTCTAAAGCATACAGTTAATGGCCACATAGTAAATAGGATATAATAGGAAAAGTGGCTTTTGCAAAGGGAAGTTCTCTCTCACGAAGCTGTGAAAGTCCCTTGAAGAAATCTAAGAATCAAGACAGGGGAGATTTTGTGTGGCCTGTCAAAGGTGTCTTTCCCCGGGGCACTGCCAGGCTCCCAGGAGCTCCTCTCATCCATGGCGAGTGGATGCTCAGAGTGGCTCCCCAGGCCGCTATGGATGCTAAAAGTTCATGAGAGTTTCTAGAAGCGGCAGGATTTTCCTGCCTTTTTTTCTGTTCTGTTCCATAACAAACTGCTGCACACGGAGGTCCCGCAGGCAGTTCTGGATCACCCCGGGGCACAAACTAGAGGAGCCTGGGAAGGGCTGGCTGTAAGGTCCGATCCCTTCCCTGCCCTCCTGGGACACTGCGGAGCAGGAGCCCTGCAGGAACCTGTGCGGCTCAGCCTTTGGCCAGGAGATGGAGTCCCAACATCACCTCCCAGGAGGTGGGCGGCACCCCCGGTCTTCTTTTTGTATGCCAATGCAGACTTCTGTGTATCACATTTTGCCCGTTGCTGACTGTAGATACTACCTAATGTTCATTACTAGCCCTTCAATTTTGAGTGACGTTTTCTTTGGTGAGATGACAAGAAGCTGGCTTCATTGTAGTAAGCTCTTGAAGTTTGCTTCCAAAGCATATTTCCACTCCTCATTTTTCATCTTCATTCTGAACAGTGCAATGCATTCAGTTAATTTGGGCATTCCATGTCACTTACCTCTTATTTTTTGTTCATCCTTACAGCAGCATGCCTTGCCCCTTTCTTCTGGATTCACTTTTTATTTATACACCTGAGGATTTCTTCCTCTTTGCTTTCGTGTGCTCCACAAGGTTATATATAACTTACCTGCTGGCAATGCTAACCTTGTTGCTGTACATATCAGCCTGGAGATCCCTTTCTATGCTTTCTGTTCCTCATGTATTTACTTTCTGCTTTGCTTTTTTCTTGAACTGACTGTTCATTGTGTTCATCCGAAACTTGCTCTTAAAAGCTCTTTCCTCTTGCTTGGGACATGGATAACTTGGGAGTATGAGCACCTTTTTTATTACTAAATTCCAAGCCTCTTCCAGCTTCAAACCCATGTAGCTTCACCTGTCCACTGCCAAACACTTACATACTGTTTCCTCTTCCTCTGTACTGAAGCCAGGTGCAGAGCTTCTGTAATCCTCTCGACTTTCTCCTCTCCTTTTTTCAGTTTTGGTTGTTGTGTCACCTTCAACCCCAAATCTTGAGCTCCTTTCACTACAACACAGCAAACAATGAGCTCCTTCCTCTCTGTGCCAGTGGCAAGGCACATACTGATACTTTGACCATGTTATGTTTTGAGGTGAGAAATTTAATTTCCTCTAAGGCAACTCAAAGAACCACATCAGTCCCTTTCAGGCTGACAATCCCACCTCTTTTTTCTAGTCCTAACCTAGCAAATGTTTACTCTAGTTTTCCTGTTCAAGATCCTGTTTAGCTCTAACCCCATTTGCCCTTAGGCTCTTCTCATCTGCTGCATTAGTAAATGTCTTCATAATGTCTTCATATCCTTCACTCTGTTATGCTAAATAAGTGCTCAAATAAATTATTTCTTCTGGTTTCCAGAATAATACTAAATCACTTTCTCTCTCTCTCTCTCTCTCTCTGTATATATATATATATATATAGTTATATTTAGGATTTTAGGTTAATGCTTTTCATAGATATCTCAATGAACTTTGTTTTCTCCTTGTCTTCATCAAGAGCAAATATAATGTTAAAGATGGAAAACACAGGGAAATATTTAATTGATAAACACATAAGAGCTGATGGGTCTAAACCAAGTTAATATTTAAGACAAGAGCAGTGAGCTTGGTTCCTGTATTTAGAAAACTCTCCCAAACTGTGCCTGATTCATACCAATAAGCACCAATATATCTGAATGAGTTCAGCTTGCCAAGAGTATTTTGAAAAATAAGAAGGGCTTTTGCAAAACTATCAAGGAAAATGCCAGCATAGAGAACAACAGTATCAACACAGGCACTACAGTATGAGAATGTCAGTATGTAACTCTTGTAACTCACCCATCAGCTCTATCTGGATGTGTGTAATACTGCACATAGGGGAAAGAATCTGATGGCTAGAGATGGAACTAGAGACTAAGAATGGATTTCTGTAATGATTTCAGCAGGGAAGAGTCTTACAGCTGAAGAATTAAAAGACATTTACTGAATAGGTGAATAATCAATGACAGAGTAGGAAAATATCCCTCTGCAAGAGAGGATGCAGAGAAACTACACATCTAGATTCACTGTCAACGTAGAGGGACGTATTGAACATCTAGAGGGATGTAGCATCTTGGCTCCGGTGCTATCCAATATCTTAATGAGCAAACTAAATAACAGAAGAGTGTGCATTAAATTCACAAATCATATCCAAT